CAGGCCGAAGAAGACCATGCTGCCTCCCAGAAACTGACACATGCCGTCGGGAGTGTTGAAGTCCTCAGGTCGCACGCCTCCATGGAGGTAGAGTCTCAGAACCAGGGCTCCGGGGATCACGTGTCCAATAAAGTCTGTGACCACGAGCGAAGTAGCAAACAGGAGGAATGTGGCCTTAGAACGCCGCCGCTGGAGGCAGTAGGCGTTGGCCAGGATAAACAGGGCCACGATGTTGGAGACGATGCCCAGAGTCATTGGTAGAATGACGACGATGATGGCGCCGGCGGACGGCCCCTCATAGGTGAAGTTCCCCTGCTGCGACAGCCCTTCCACAGCCACCCTGGCCTCCACCTTCCCTTCACTGTCATTAGAGTTAAGGAGGTAATGAGGGAGGAGCGGGGAGGCTGAGGAGTTGTAGTGGCTCAGAGTTAACATCGCTGAACTCTGAAGGTCATGGGGTCCATAGTTAAGGGAGGCTACGAGAGAAACAGATGAGAACAGATCAGTCAGGATTGTCACATCTGCACAGGTTTCCAGAAAAAAAAACCCATCTCTGTTCCATGGCACATGAAGAAAAAAGGCAGAAATATAAGGTCATCTGTAAAATGATTTTGGCTAATCAGTAGACGCCGTGTCATAACGTTGTCTTCAGCTCTGGCCGACCAATAAAGGTTGGACACATTCATTTGAAGATCATTGTTTGTTTTGGCAGATGGTGAACCTGAGCTCCTCATCCAGGGGATGCTGGGAAAAAAGAACAAGGGATGTAAAAAAAAAAAATTGACGTCATCAAAGAACTCCCCTGAATAGAGATGGCACTGCAGTACCATTTGTATTTTACAAACACCAACCACTTTGTAGGCGAAAGATTCCACTGATTTTTACTTCCGATGAAAACCAGAAAATGTCACAACAGAGTCTGGATAACAGGTGATGACAGACAACAGACAGATAACAGGGGGGTGTAATGACATTAAAGGCGACTGTGGATTATGACACATCCAAACACCTAAGGCGTGACTCAACACTGCCGTCACCAGAACACCAAACAGAGCGCTATTTTTAGAAAAAGAATCAACTCGCCGGAACATTAGAACTCTGAAATATGTGACGACAGGCTGTTAAAGCTGGTTTTAGAAACTAAAGAGCCTCAGCCATAGATGGACACCAGTTCAGATGGACAAGAAATGGACAATCACAACGTGTGGATATATGAAAAAAAATTATATATATATATAAAGTCCTATTTTTTAAACTATTAATTATTAACTTTAAACTACTAACTAACCTCACACTGACCGGCTGATTACTTAAAGATTACAAAATGATTACTTAATTACAAATTGGACAGATCATTCAGCATTATTACATGCAGCATAATTCATATTATTAAATATTAATGCAAATATGCAAGAGGTACTTGGTTTTTTGAGTCAGCCCCTACTGGCCAGCAGTTGTATTGCATTTAAAAGAACAACAGCTGGGTATCTTTCATATAGATCGGAGTGTGTAAAGAAAAAAGGAGTGTGTAGCACTAGCGCTCTTGTTACCAGGGGGTTAATGCCACTGTATATGTTTTATGACCCGCTGCCACATGGTTGTTCTGTCTCTGGGCAATTTCCATAGTCCTAATGTTTCCTTCCTTCCTTTCCTTGCTCCCTTCAGGGGTCGCAGCCATGGATCATCTGCCTCCATCTCCGTCTATCCCAGGAGTCCTCTACTGTTACACCGACCTCCACTGCCTGCATTAATCTTCTCTGGGGTCTTCCTCGTTTCCTGCTGCCTGGCAGCTCCATCTCTAACATCTTTGGTCCAATTTCTCCGCTGGTTTTGCTCTGCAGTCGTCCAAACCATCACTTATTTTTCTGCTGTTATCTGACCTCAAAATCATGGAGCGTTCAAGCCACGCTTATTTGCATTAAATGGAAGAAGGAAGAAGAAGAAGAAGAGAAGTGAATGTTTAAATATGGCTTCAGTTATTTTACAGTACTGAGCTACAAACTGCAGTAGAAGAACGTTGGCCTTCACTGAATGCATGATCTTTAGGGAACGTCTCCATTTTTTGCCGTAACGTTGCACAACTGGGACTTTCTCTAACATGATCATTCCAGTGGAGAATAAGATGAGGGAGAAAGACAAATGTGTTATTGTTCGCTTTGTTCTTCTTTGGACTTTAATTTACAGGATTTAACACATTTGTGTGCTGATGGAGACGTGTCAGAGAACAGCAGCTGATGTCATGGTGCTGAGTTCTTCTGAACTGTTCTTCAGCATCACAGTGACTCTCAAACATCAGCCGTAAACACTGACATCCTCCCGGCAACGGACAGCAACAAGAAAAGTCAGTGTCGTTGGTAACAGGGTGAGAGTGAAGAGGGGAAAATAAGATTGAGATTTAAAAAGATAACACACAAACTGATAAGACCTTTAAAAGAACAACATACAACCAGATGGCCTCCAGATTAAAATCAAGATTAAAGACGCAGGAGGAGAAATTGGATTTGAGATTAATCACGGACGGTCAGATAAGACTATTGACGTCGGGACCATTCCAACAGACGAGGCCGTGTCTAATGTGGTTTTTTAAACAGACATGAAGGCTGACAGGTGCTGCTGCAGATAATCCACGCCAATCATTTTCAAAGGGAGGGTTAGGGTCTAAAGATGAGTCACTGAAAATCTGGTTTGGGTCTTTACTGGATTAGAATATGAACTGACTTAATTTACCAAACAAACTAATGAGTTGTCCACTTCTGTTAAAGAATCTGATTTAGATTTAGAAATGACAATAAAACAAGGATACATATTTGATATTAGCTACTATTTCCAGTGGTTCTGATAAAAAACCAACTCTTACTTTCAAGCTGTGGATTAAACAATTCACTGTTTGGTTTTTTAACCACAGTATATTTTCCCAAAAAAGAATATCAGGCTGCTGACAGGACAGAAAGCCTGATGTGTCTTTGAAGTGATGTAGAAAACAGCTGAGTTTATCTCAGAGCAGATCTGCCCTGTTCACCTCTTCATAAAGTCACTGTCACGGAACACTGTGTCCTGCAGGAGTCTGATGTGGAAAGAAATGAGGAAATACTGCAAAAAAACTTTGTAGCATCTGGGTTAGATCAACACTGACATGTGTTGTTGTTTCACATCCATCCATCTATCTATCTATCTATCCATCCATCTATCCATCCATCTATCCATCTATCTATCTATCCATCCATCTATCATCTATCCATCTATCTATCTCTGTGTTGTTAATTTAATTATTCCAATTGACAGTGATGTCCTGATGCAGTCCAGTTGTTGCTCTTATTGGATCAGTAAGAAACAGATAAAGTGGCTCACCACATGCACACAGCTTTGTTGTCCTCCTCGGTTCAAAGTCAATATCCAAAAATTCGGCTCCTCTCTCCTCTCCACAAATTCCAGATCAGTATCCAGAGTCCCTCTCAGCAGTCACGGTCCACAAACTCAGGAGAAAATCTCTCACAAGTCGAGTTTCCCTCTGGCCGAGTGAAGCGCACCGCTGTCCGCGGCGGGATATGATCCATGGCTGAGGGTGCGCTTCTCCTCCTGCTGCTCCTCCTCGCTCTCCTCCTGCTGCTGCTGCTGCTGCTGAGTCCTGGATGTTGTGTGAAGGATCCTGACTGACACTGAAACACACTGTCACCCCGGTGTTTTTTATATATGTAGAACGTGAGTGAGAGTGAGGGCGTCTCTGCTGTTGCTCCGCTGCGCTCCTCCTGCGCCTTTCTTCTGTTTACATCAGCGCGCGCGCACTGGCGCGTACACACACACACACACACACACACACGCAGTAAAGTTCTTACTCACCTCATGTGTCTCACCTACATTTCCAAGAACACACCTCCAGTCACGGTCAGGCCTGTGTCTCAGCGTGCAGACGACACTGTCCTGACACTGTGTGAAACGTCACCACGTAAGGTTACGCACGTGGCCCCGGTGACCTTTGACAAGACAAAATGAAGATCCTTTTCACTTGTTTTTGGCTGTAATTGATTTTGTGGCTCAGCCTGGGTCCTTTATCGGACAGATCAATTTCACAGCCTGAGTTTCATTTGTCAGATTTTGACGTGACCCAGGAGCCTGGACCAATCATGGAACAGTTATTTGTGACTGATCCAAATGATGGAATTATTAATATGGAGATCTTGGCTGTGGTTGAAATTAATATATATTTTTTGTAGGTATAGATTTGCTCACCATCACTGTTTTAGTGGGAGGTAATTCATTCTCATGGAAGATCCAGATGTTCCTCAAGGTCTCTGATATTAGTCCTGTTTTTTGGTTGTTTTTTGGAAGGAAAAACACCAGAAACAGAAGAATAATAGCTGTGATTTTGTAGGGACAGGTGTTCGTGTTTGCTTTATGTTGAGCTTCACTTTCATCCACTAGCTGTGGTTTGGACCCAGGGCTTTGGCTGCAGTGTCCCTGGAAAGAGAGTGGAGGTCTGTTGATGAGGCCTGGTTCACACTAACTAGAAGAACAGAGCAGCAGGAGACGGTGGTCCACGGAAGATGAGGTCTAGAATTTCAGAAGATGTTAAAAAACGTCGATTAAGGAAACAATAATTTGTAAAAATTCAAAGGGAAGCTGATGTAGGTTAAAGATGTGATGTCTGTGAAAGCGGCAGCAGCAGCGAGCCACCGCCACAACAAGCAACAGCAGCAGCAGCAGCAGCAGCAGCAGCAGCGGCAGCAGACAGAGCCGGGCTTCACTGACCACTGAGTGAAAACACAGCTGCTCAGGACATGAAAACCAGCTTGACTTTGAGGAAACATGAGTGCGCAGCCACACTCGGGCCGTGAGGCTGCTGAGGTGTTGTCTGCACGCTGACATTCCCACAGTTTGAACACACGGTTGTTTAGTGGACGGTAGGTTACAGCGGAGGCTGATGGCGATGTCGTTTAAAAAAAAAAAAAGGTTTCCCTCAGTGGTGTCTGGTGTCCTGCACAGACCTTTGAACAGTACATGCAGAAACTCAAAACCACGTCTTTTCATTTCATTCAATAAATGGTGGCTAGAAAAATGGTGGACACACTGAAAATGTACAACCAAACAGAAACAAACATGGAGGATCTCTGTGTACTTCACAAGTCAAAAAGCTGTCAGACAGATGTTAGAAATGGCAGTGGTGTATTCTCAATCATTCTATATATCATGAATTATTATAAAATAATACAGATGACTCTGTTCTATGAATTCATTCTCGCTCTCGGCGATTGTGCTGCTCCCAGTCGCGTATACTTTTTATCCAATCATATTTCAGCCTCATGTGTTGAAAGAAATCTGCCCGAGGGCCTTCAGAGCTGGTGGTCCGGGCGCTGGGAGCCTAAAATGAATGGCAATGAGATTGTTTCTTCAACCAATCAGATTTTGAGTTGGCATCCAACTGGCAAAGCGAGGATGGTGAGAAAACATACCAATCTAACCGACTTACACGCTTGAAAGTGACGTTTTCTCTGTGTCCACCGCTCCACTGTCGAGAGGACATTCTGAGTCTGTCAAAAATACAACAGGACAGACTGGACCTTTAGCATTAGCATGGATGACGATAGAAGAAGACTTGTTGTCACAGACACGCTGAA